AATCAACTCAGTTCAAATGTAATCAACTCAAATCAATGCAAGAATTTCCTACCAGAACTCAAAATAAACTGTAATGAATGCTCTGAGATTATCTCTATGTCTATGAAGCACGTTTGCTATTGTGAAGGTCTAAAACCAGTTAGTAAGTGCCGACTAGTCTAGATGATCGTTGATTTTAATGTAAGCTACAGCATGAGAAAGGGAAAAAATAGTTCAAGAGTCTGCCTGACACAATCTTGAGATGTGACCAGGCTGTCTTATTTTGTATAGGGACAGATAACAATGAAGAGAAAGGGAGATATTTCTGACTTTTTTTTTAAAGAAGCGCAAATCAGGCACAAATGAAGCCCAGACAGACCCCAGTCCCAATATCAACAGCCCTGGTAGCTCCCAACCTGGGCTTAGCCAGGCAAGTCAGTGTGGTCAGACACAAGGACCTACTCTACCACCACCACCACCACCACCAGGTCAGAGCGTACAGAAGCAGTAAATTGCATGCCCAGTTCAGACATTGAAATGTTTAGCGTCATACTGTAACAAAGGGTGATTTTGATAGATTAAGCCTTATTTTGATTTAGCTTGTAGCAATAGATCATTTGTGTATAATATTCAATGGCTGTTTTCTTTTGACTATACAGCTTCATCAAGGGATGAGAGAGACACTATTGGTGTCACTCTCATCCCTTGATGAAACTCTGTGTGTGTGTGTGTGTGTGTGTGTGTGCGTGTGTGTGTGTGTGTGTGTGTGTGTGTGTGTTTGAGAGAGAGTGAGTGAGAGAGAGGAAGAGAGATGCATCTTGGTTATGAAAATGGTCTAAAAAAGGTTCATTGGGGGTTCATTTGGGACCAGGTTGGAGTAACACAATAACTTCCTTTATTAGTGTATGGACCCCCTCAAAAATCCTTGCCCACCCTCTGGCCACCCCTTGTATATAATTATAATTTGAAAGATTTCCTTTCTTCCTCAGCCCCACATTCCATGAACAATAAAGCCTACTGTACGTGACTATGGGATTTGCACTACCACACAGGTTTACTGCACTGTGGCTGCCGACAGCTCCTTTATAGTTACAGCAGAATGGGTCGAATGCAAAGGATGAATTTATAATTGACATGTTGTTACATGTAAAGCAACCTAACAACCACAAATTAGGAAGTAAACCACAGTGGAAACAAAGAATCGGTTCTGTAGCCAGATGTCCGCATTAGAGTTTATTTTTACAGTTCAGTCTCATTTTAGATAGATGATAGATATTCACCCTTACCAATAATTTAACAGAAAATTATCATCTAAAATGGATACATCCCTCTTAACTTAAACCTACTACAAGGAGTTTTTAGCTGGTTATGAAACAGTCTCAATTTAATACTGATGCCTCTGACCTACATAAGCATAAGAGACCATCAGCGAGAAGATTGCTTATTTCTAGTGATTCCTAATGCCTGCCACTGGGTCAGATTCGGTGGGATTCACCTTGAAATCAGAGAAACGGGACAGTGGAAACACAACCGCCTTTGTCCAAAGGAGCCACCTGAATGAACACAAAAGGAAAGTTGAATGTTGCTGGTTTAATGTAAAGTTTTCATAAATACTGAATACCATTGTTTCTCCAGCATTGCTCCACAATCACAACCTTGACACAAACATTTTTGACACCTTTCCTGACACAAGCGGATCCTCATTTCAAGACTGATGACAAATCTATGTGTACATGTATAACTACTGATAAACTTCAGTTAAGAGCCCAGGATTGTATTTGCATCAATCACTGACTTCAACCTGCCTATATTTGGGACAGGTGTCTATATGGGAGAGGCCTTTAATTGGTGCAAAAAACTCTCTCTCAGCAAAGATGGGAAATACTATAACATTGTTTATTTAAACCAGTTGCAGTTATTTGTATAAAATTTAGGCTTTTGAATAACATATCAATTATGAATCATTCATTTGATTATGATATGCGCTTATGGTTCTTTAACCGTGGAGAATCTAACTGATCTAACGATGAAATTGCTAAAGGTGTAAACATTTATATTTGTGTGGGGCAATCTAAGCTGTTTAGAACTCGCTACCCTGTGAGTTTTAAGAGGTTTAATACATCAAAAGAATTGGAGTTGCCTGTGCTGCGCAGGACGGAGTCACTGAGAATGGCCTAAAACATACCTTGCTTTTACTAAATACACATCTTGCTGTATGGAAGAATACTTGAAACTAGAGATTGAGACAACAAACTGTTTACTGAGCTAATATATCTATATCTATATATATAAGGGAGAAATAGGGTCATTTCTGCATAGGACTGCATGCTATCAGGCTTTTATTGCAGCCAATAGAGCTGCACCCTGCTGGCCATTACATAGAATCTTTATGGCATGATATATACTATAACAAACTATTACTGCTACTATAGTGCTACTAGCCAAAATTTGAACTTACTGTAGTTGTTGTTATTTTTATCCTCATTATCACATAATTCATGTACATAACAACTAGAAAAGGCTAGATTTTCTGAAGAAAATGTGTGTGCTCGCTGCTTAAAATTTCCAGTCAAATTTGAAATGGATGAACTAGTGGAAAAGTTTGAGTTGAAGTGCCAGTTGGAATACAATTAGGCTACTGACTAAATATAGTATTCGTATGACAGAAGAGGGCAAAAAAGCCTTGATGTGCCAATCCTACTCTGAAAAGGCGTCTTCCTGAAATGTATGAAGCCTGTCAATCAGCATTCAACTGGCTGAAGAAATTTATTAGAAGTAGGATGTTTTTCTACTGACAGTTGAGACTACTTAGTTCTGTTCACAAGGGATCATATTCCTTAAGAAAGCTCTTAAGGTGTAAAACTGTTAGAAGTAGGTAGGGGGACTTTCAAGAGGATTAAGAGTTTCTTAAGCAGCAGAGGAATGTCAGGAGATATTCTCTAAATGCTGAATCACACAGTGTTTTCCTTTTTCTAGGTGTCATGTGGTCTGTGTCCGTTGAGTTCACTTCCTCCAGCTCTGAACATACCGAGTGATTTGTATTGTTTTACTCTCTTACATACTCCACAATCTCTACAGCCACTCTGATGTGTCTGTATTGCCCTGCGTGTTTGATTTGATGATGATGGTGATGCTGTCAATGTGTGCCAGACCTCACCAAAGTCTCATAATATGCCGAACGAGACTGTTATTATTATTGCACACTGCTGGCTGTGGGTGCCAGGTACTCCACTCCACTAGAGGGAGGATGCACTGGTTTTTGGGAAGCAGTCAATAATTCAAATATTGGTAGTCAGTACTGTATTGGCGACGCCCACAGATGTATGATTTCACTGCTGGGAGCTCAGACCCCTCAAAGCTCAGCTCCCACTCACACATAACTTGTCAAAACTTGGTTCCTATAGTCTCTAAAAGTAGAACAGGAGCCAGAGCCTTCAGCTACCAAGCTCCTCTCCTGTGGAACCAGCTTCCAGTTGTGGTTCTGGAGGCAGACACCCTCACCACATTCAAGAGTAGGCTTAAGACATTCCTCTTCGATAAAGCTTGTCGATCCTGGTGGAGCCTCCTGCCATGGTCCTGCTAGATTGCCATTGCCAATACTGTTGTTACTGTGCACCTGTCTGTCTGTCTGTCTGTCTGTCTGTCTGTCTGTCTCTCTCTCGCTCTCTCTCTCTCTGTCTCTCTTTCTCTCTCTCTCACCCCAACTGGTCGAGACAGACGACCACCCACCTAGAGCCGGAGGATCTGTCCTAGGTTTCTGCCTTTTAACAGGCAGTTTTTCCTTGCCCTTGTCGCCAAGTGCTTGCTCATGGTGGTACTGTTGGGTCTCTGTAATTAATGTTTTAAAGAGTTCGGTCTAGACCTTGCTCTATTTGAAAAGTGTCCTGAGATAACTTCTGTTATGAATTGGCGCTATACAAATAAAATTGAATTGAATTGAATTGAAAAACTTGTGGTTATTAAGCCACATCTGCCATAAAAAAGGATATTGCATATTGGTTGTATAGACTATAATTTTTGTATAGACAACATTTAATTTAAGTTCCAACAACTTTCAAGGACTGCATATATTATTCACATAATGAGAGAAAATATCTGAACATTTGCGCAGAAAATGTTTCATCATAGCATTTGTATGGATTTTGGACACCTTTGCCCAGGCCACACCTCTCCACACCTTCGCCACAGATGTACCAATCCTCCTCTGTAAATACTTCTTCCTGGAATTTATAAAACATATCAATCGGATCTTAACTGGAAACTCATCATCACCCTCCGACGCTCTCTGTTTAACTGGAGTAGATGCGGATTACTCTCTGATAAGGTAGGACCAAAACAAAATCAATATTAATACATTTTAACTGGTGATTCTTTTTTGATTAATTTAAGTGACAACCTAATTTTCAGAGATTTTATGTATATTCTGGCTCATAAATGACTAAAGATACTACTACAGGAATTAAGTGAAAATAATAATGTTAATACAAATTCTTCCTTGTCTTAATACTGCTACAAAAAGCAAAAATTCTAAATCATAAAAATTACAAATACATTAAAAATAAATAAATAATAATAATAAAGTATTATTATTATTATTATTATTACACACTGCTGGCTGTGGGTGCCAGGTACTCCACTCCACTAGAGGGAGGATGCACTGGTTTTTGGAAAGCAGTCAATAATTCAAATATTGGTAGTCAGTACTGTATTGGCGACGCCCACAGATGTATGATTTCACTGCTGGGAGCTCAGACCCCTCAAAGCTCAGCTCCCACTCACACATAAAACTTGCAGTTATTAAGCCACATCTGCCATAAAAAGGCATATTGCATATTGGTTGTATAGACTATACTTTGCTGGTTCAGACAACATTTAATTTAGGTTCCAGCAGGCAGGAACATGTTTCCTCTCTCCTCTCCACTCTTTAACAAAGTAGGCTGTATAATAATCATTCATTTATTTCTTCCAGCATAATATTGGCCGGTGTAAGTTTGCTTATATCCTCAAACCAATATCTAAAGTCAAATTAAAGGGCAGGTCTGGGTTGGTCGCTCCTCACGGAGTCGGCAGAGGACAGCGATGCGGACTGAGAGGATGACGCACACGTTTAGCCAGGATGGATCTGATGGATCTGATGGAAAGAGTGAGTTTATTAGCTCATACAACATATTCAACCTCCGATATAGTATATTGTACGTGTATATTAGACCTGGTGGAGATAGAGCTGATGTTCTTTTCTCTCTTCTTATTGTCTTCGCCACAGTGTGGAGCAGGAGGACGCAGAGGAGGACCGCATATAAATTAGATCCAAACAGAGACGGAAATATATCATTTTACTGGTGGTTATTTACACATTTACGCACTGTTAGAGATGTAGCAGCAGAAGAAAACGGATTTTCTTAATTTGGGGGACTAGAGCAGTAAACAAAACCAGCAACTTTCAAGGACTGCATATATTATTCACATAATGAGAGAAAATATCTGAACATTTGCACGGAAAATGTTTCATCATAGCATTTGTATGGATTTTGGACACCTTTGCCCAGGCCACACCTCTCCACACCTTCGCCACAGATGTACCAATCCTCCTCTGTAAATACTTCTTCCTGGAATTTATAAAACATATCAATCGGATCTTAACTGGAAACTCATCATCACCCTCCGACGCTCTCTGTTTAACTGGAGTAGATGCGGATTACTCTCTGATCAGGTAGGACCAAAATATATATTATAATCATTCTAAAATAAATAAATAATAACATAATAATACAAATACAAATAATAATGATAAATGATCTTTTCCACAGCAGTCATTTTGGCATGAAATAGTAGGTTACCAATGATACTAATTACAGTTTTGTTCCATTCAGGTCAAACAGAGTCAGGGTGCTGTTATTATACATGTCAGCTCACTGGAAACTGGTTCTACCACATTAAAGACGATGAAACTTTATTTAGTATAATTGGTAACACCTGTGTTTACCCGACTATTGTATGTCAAAATGGCTTCTGTGAAAAAGGTCTATAATAAAGTTTTTGTTTTTTTAATTACTGATGAAAGAAATAAGTCATACTGTGATGTTCATTTAATAAAGACTGGCAGATGTATTTGCCTGATAAAAAGATGAGTTTATGTAGCAAGCTATTATTATAGCTTATTAAGAAATAACACCTCATTCATGACTCCAGACTCACTTGTGTATTTCACCATACACTTCACAGATCATTTCCCAGTCTCATCATCACACTGCCAAGATGAATTCAAAAGCAAAGGTTCTCATTTTCCTGCTCTGTATCACTGGCATTGGTGTGTTTTTGAACGGACATGTTTCAGGATATCTCCTCCAGTTTCAGGACAGAAAGCCCTGTGCTTGTGACACGTGTTTAGTAGAAGATGAGTGGTTATTGCAGCGTGCCAACAAATCTGCTGAACCATTTTTATCAGCAAAACACAACCTCTCAGAGGACGCTTTCAACTGGTGGAAGGTAAGTTGTCACCATGCAAGAAAACAGTCTCTAACATTCTCATCACTGTCAAACTTTGTTTTCCAAAACAACTCATAACTGGTTTAATGTCTGTGTTTGGCATGTTCAGCGCTTACAGGCTGAAAGGCGCAGCTACAGTTTCTACAAGCAAACAGTGGACAAGCTGTTTCAGACATTCCCATCCAGTCCAGATTTTATAGAACAAAGCCCTGACCGCTGCAGGACTTGTGCTGTGGTGGGGAATTCTGGTAATTTGAATGGATCACATTATGGACGTCTGATAGATTTCCATGACGTCATCATAAGGTAAATCCTCCAGCTAAGGAATGTTGTTCGTAACCTGTTTTTCATCTGTGTTTGGACAAACAAGGACATTTTTTCCTCAACATCAAAAATGAAAAGTAAAAATTCAAGCAGTCCCCTAAGAATGTATGCATAGGAGACTGACATATAAGAATATATCCATCTGTACTATTTAGAATGAACACTGGTCGTACCAAAGGCTATGAAGCAGATGTTGGGAGCAGAACAACTCATCATATCATGTATCCAGAGAGTGCCATGGACTTAGATACCACCACCCATCTTGTGCTGTTTCCATTCAAGATACAGGATCTTGAGTGGCTAATGAAGGCCACCACCACAGGATTTTCTGGAACGTGAGTCCTTTTTTTAATAAACTTTTCAAATTCATGAACTATACTATGTGATCATTTGCCCCAGTATGTAGATCTCTAATGTATATTACTGCATGCAAATTCGCTTTGGAGAACTTTAACTGGCAAAGCTACAGCCTCAACCAGTTGCAAAGATGGACCGTGTGCATTTGCCTTGGGAGGGGATGGTCGGGGGGGTGCCTGAAAATCAACGTGCCTGATAGCAATTTTATTGAGAACATTTCTTTGACAAGTCTAAGCTTAACCATCCTAGGATAAGGTTTCATATTAAAAATATCTGCTTTAGTTTAATTTAGAATACCTATTATATCGGGGTTTTTTTTGCAAAGTAGTTCCTTGGAGGTTGATTGTGAGAGTTTTGATCTGTTTCTGGAGTCAGTATGGAGCTGTAGTAGCAGGCTTTGGACTACCTCTATAAAGGAGGACAACAACTCCAAACATGTAAACATTCTTTGTAAAGAGAACAAATGAGGCTCATCAACGTGCCTGATAGCAATTCAATTGAGTACATCTCTTTGACAAGTCTAACCCTTACCCATCCTGGGAAAGGATTTTTTTATTAAAGTAGTTCCTTGGACGTTGAGTTTGATGCTTCATTGTATTTTCAACAGGTCGTATATGCCAGTAAAATCAAAAATCAAAGCTAACAAGGATTTGGTGAGTAATATTTTGAATACATTTGACAACAGACTCTACTGGCTGAATAGGTAATAGTTTAAAGGCTAATTCTGATTCATAACAGGTGATGGTGCTCAATCCAGCGTTCATGAGGTATGTTCATGACATCTGGCTGGAAAAGAAGGGCAGGTATCCATCCACTGGCTTTATGGTTTTGGTTCTTGCCCTGCATATTTGTGATGAGGTAAGTTGTGGTTGCAAATAATGGAAGTATTTGCTCAGCCATCAGACACCTAATCTTTCAGTTTTTACATATTATATGAAAATCTCCTGGGCTTGTTTACCAGGCAGATGTCACTTTGAAGGAATGATAGATTATTTTCATAGTTACTGACATAGATAGATACACACTATGTGGAGTGTACAAGTGCCTCTGTCATTTTGATACACAGCAATATACTGTTAACTGAAGTAGACCAAAAGTATTTTTCTTATTGGTTAAAATCTGTGCCAAAAGTTATTTTCTTTTTGAATATATAGAAGAACACAATTGTATTTTTTATTAAATAAGATGTTTATGTGAACCTTTTAAAATGTGAAGGCCAATAATTTTATTTTTTCATATAAAAAAACACATCAGCTTATAATCATGGGTGGACACCACTATTTAAACTCACATGAAGAGAATCTCCAGAACTATGGCTCACCAGGCAATGAGTTTTTTGCTATTGTCTTTATAACGACAGGATCGTGGGTCGTATAGCACTGGATATTACTCTATCTCAACGACTAATAAATCTCTCCTCATTCATTGTTGTACACACAAGCGATAGCATGAGGTGAGCCTTTTTTCAGGTGCAGTAGTGCTGGAAATAGGACAGTGGCGTGAAATGACGCAGAGTTATGCCTCCATGGAAGCTGGTGCACGTCTACCTGCTGCCACTTATGAGAATTATACATAAATAATAGGGGCAGCTGTTTTAATCAGCATTAATGCTGGTTTTTTTGCATTCCAAAACACACCTCTATTGTGATAGTCATGGTAGACTGAGTTTAGACACAAAAACTAGATGGTTAAAGGTCTATCTTTACTTTTGCCATGTTGACAGTGACCTCTTGTCAGGGAAAGGTAAATATTTTAGGCTCTTGCTGTTATCCTGGTGAGGACAGTCTCAACTGAATGAGGTCTAACCAAGTTTTACTTTCTTCTGCCATTTCGATGACAGCTTAGGTTGGTTATTATATGTTGATTTTTGTATTTCCAGGTCCACGTGTTCGGTTATGGAGCAGACAAAGATGGAAACTGGAGTCATTACTGGGAAAAACTCCAAAACAAAAAGTTAAAAACTGGAGTACATCCGGGATCTCATGAGTATGGAATTATCCAGAAGCTAGCTGAGCAAAAAAAACTCAAGTTTTATACCGGGTGGTGATCTGTCTCCCAGCATATTCAAGCCTTGATAGCAGATCATTTACAAAGCAAAACAAGACTAAGAAGCCTAGGCTTTAAAGCTCAATAGACAACTCTGCTCTGACTGACTCCTTTGCTGCACACATTAACCCTTTGTAGGCTAAAACTGTGAGTAGAGCCATGATCTATGGAGAGGTGAAGTGAAGAACTGAAAACTGTTGAGGTTGTTTAAGATACTCAAACTGCTAAACTATTAAGTGAAAATTAATCACATTGAAGGAGATGAAGGGTAACAGCTGTTCTAAGCAATTTTCTCTGTTGTTATTGTTTATTGTTTATTTATTGTAATTTTGTGATGTTGATGGACACTGCTGCAATGCAATGTGCAACATCAATAGTCGAGCTTGTCAGAGATGAAAAAGAGCTTGCTATTGAAGTTCATGGCAGCATGTTACAATGCATTGACCATCAATTGTCTTAATGTGATGACATTTCTACATACCTATTTTGTCTGGTATAAGATTGACCTAATAACATCTGTAACTCAAAACATCTTTTCAGTGAGACCATGTTAAAAAAAAGTCATTTAAAAGCTTTGTAGAAGGCAATAGTAGAAGTACATGAAGTATTTCCTCAGCAAACAGACACACCTAATCTTTCAGTGTTTGCATATGAAAACCTCCTGGGCTTGTTTACCAGGCAGATTTCACTTAAAAGGAGTAATAGGTTATTTTAATATCCTACTGACTTATAGATACACACTATGTGGAGTGCTTCTGTAATTTTGATACACAGCAATGTACCGTTAACTGAAGTAAACTAAAAAATATTTGCATTCTTCCTCAAATAAAACTGTAGTAGGGAAGTACTGAGCACTTTTGTATTTCCTGTATGTGTTACTTGTTGCTGTATACATTTTAATGTTAAGCACACTGAATTGACCTGCAATTAAATGATTTGAACTTTGCCTCAAATATGGTTACACATATGGTGTTTCAAATGACTATGAAGTTGTATCACAGATATTTATGGGACAGCTTCAGAAGATAAATAAAGTGAATTCATTTGTTGGCATAAAATTCATTAATTGCTATGCAGATGCAAATTAATGTCCAGTGTATCCTTTAGTCTCTCTTGCCTCACTGAAGATAATAATAGGATGTCCAAACATTTCTTGTAGTTGAATGACTTCAAATATTAAATAAGGTATAATAACCCCTTCTGGCCTCAGCTCTAGCAGTATTAATAATTTCTTATGTAGTCCGGGTGCCTTATTTAATAACGTTAAAAAAGAGGCCTGCAACCTAGGTGTTACTTTTTACTCTGAGTTGTCATGATGCTCAGGTGACTAAAGTGGTGAAGCCCTGCTTTGTCTAGCTAATCAGATCTTTACTTTCCTCTGCAAATCTACAAATTGGTCATCCATGCTTCTATCTCCTTCAGATTTAACTATTGCAAAGCACTTAATTCTGCTATCAGCAAAGACTGCAACTTGTACAAAACACTGCTGCCAGGCTTTTTACACTTTCAAAGAGAAGGGACCACTTCACACTAATCATTGCAAGCCCATCACTGGTACCGGTACCTGTGAGTTATAGAATTGATTTCAAGATTTTACTGCTTGTTATAATAAGTGCATTCTTTTGTACTGTATTGCACCTCAGACAGAGGAGAGAATGCAAGAAAAAAGTTTAAAAAATACAGATAGACATATAAAGGGTTTAAAATAGGCAACACCCAAATTAAATTATCAAAAATAGAAGTTCAGCGGTCCTGTATTACATTGTGTTTTGTCTTCATAAAAAGGTTAACTGCACAAATGTAAAGGTTGTGTGCAGTGTTGATTTCAGTTCCCACACATTGGCCAACATTTCCTTATATTGGTTTTATGTTCTAATATATCATTAGCATGCCTGAATCACCAGCCAGCACAGAAAACAAGGACAACTCATTCAAACCAGGAAATTATTATGTAAAATTAGATCCATTTGATCTCTCCCTTAGAAAAAATCCCTACATATTCAGATGGAAAATACCAGCTCAAGTTTGGCAGTTCTTAGTCTGCAGCAAAGAGTGTGAAGAGGTGCCACACAACTTAAATTCAATAGAATATTTTATCACCATTACTTGTCTTGTTCTTTATCACATTACATGTAAGCATTGCACCTTAAAATATTTGCAAAAATTGCTAATTAAATGTTGGATAAAATATCCCCCCAAAAAAAACATGCTAAAGAAAGAAGGGTTTGCTGCCTGTCCCTGACAGGCGAACTTCATGTTTAACAACCAGTATGAAACTATTGTGACATCCCCCTTTGGTTTGTGGAGTACTGTTCTGAAGCCTTAAGTTTGGAGTTTTGGCCGTCGCCATGATGGTTAGACAGAGCCAGCAGAGGTGACGTACTGCTGGGTTGAGCTGCGCTCATTGGCTACGCGGTTTCAACTCATCCGTAGAAGGAAACAATGCGGCTCACCCGGTCACCCATGTACACCCTGTCTCCGGTTCACCACTTTTCCTTCCTTGGACCACTTTTAATAGGTACTGACCACTGCAAACCGGGAACACCCCACAAGAGCTGCAGTTTTGGAGATGGTCTGACCCAGTTGTCTAGCCATCACAATTTGGCCTTTGTCAAAGTTTCTCAAATTCTCACACTGCCCATTTTTCCTGCTTCTAACACATCAACTTTAAGGACAAAATGTTCACTAGCTGCCTAATATATCCCACCGCCCTTTAAACTATGGAAGGCCTCTTCACATTCCACTGTCTACTGAACTTTGTTGGGTTAATTCTTCCTGGTGAGGTTGATGAGTGGGGCCACAAGAGTGGAAAAGTTTTGGATGAACCGTCCATTCCACCCCACCGGACCAAGGAAAGACTTCACCTTGGATTTTGTTTTGGGCCAATTTGATGGCTCTTGATGACCTTTGCCATTTGTGGACCCAGTACCCCATCCCCCAGCACAAAACCCAAGTACTGAGTCTCTCTTTCCCCTAGCGCAACCAAGGGTGCACACTTGGGAGTTCTATGTTTATTTATCCATACATTCATATGTAACTTACCATTAGTGATGGAAGAGCGCTGCAAAGTTGCACTGCTGTCTCACATTAGGAGACTGGCTGGCCAAACAAGGGCGTAATACAGTCTTTTTCCAAGTTTTCCATTTTTGACCACTTTCTGTAAATATTAGCACTGTTTTTCACCTTGAGGGGGCCAGCAATAAATCGCACCAACAATACCTGCAGACTACGCCTGAGTTTTTGAGGAGTTTGAAATAAACCCCATGACAAGAACCTGCCAATATCCCTTGCTGATGTACCTTGCAACGCCTATTCTCTCAACCAGGTCATGGAGTCTTGGCATCAGATACAAGTCCAGTTTACTGACCCCATTTACCTTTCTAAAGTCCAAACAGAACCTCAAGGTGCTGTCCTTTTTGGGGACTAAGATGACCTGGGTGCCCCATTCACTGGAAGAAGGTTCTATAACACCCATCTTCCTCATCATCTCCAGCTCTTTCTTCAGTACTGGTTGCAGGCGCCCTGGAACCCTGTAGACAGGCTGTCAAAGGGGGGCTTGGGGTCCTTCAGCATAATATTGTGCTGGACCACCTCTGTGCAAAATCTTGAGAAGCTCCATCCTCTTCTTCTCACACAGGTGGTCCAGGTGCAATTGCTTCTCAAGTTCCATGTTGATATGGAAGGTTTGGTATAGCTGTTTCTGTTTAGGCATGTGGATCTGGTATGGTACAACACCCATCTCCTGCTTGATCTGGTATGGGCCATGCCACTTTGCTCTGATGTTGAGATATTGAGTTACGATCTGCAGCTACACTGCTAGATATACTATTAAATCTAACTGGACCTTTTAAATATAGTGAAACTACAGTGTGACATAAAGACACATTTTTTTTTCCCCTATACGTCTTTTATTTTTTTTTATCAACTTGTAAAGCAATTTCACACGGTCAATAGTTGATCTGTGACATTGCTGTGATATTCTTTCTGTTTAGGTGTGGTTTGAATGAACAAAGTCCAGACAATAAATGGGTTCAGTTAAAACTCTGTAATGTAAGATGGTAATGTAAGAAAAGCAATGGACACCATAATATAGTTTGCTTCATGTTGCAGAACCTTATCCCTGAAAGCATTTTCCCACTACACCAGACTCCTCTCCGCTTCACGTCTAAACCACCCCAAATCAATGTCAGGACACAATTTAATTTTATTCAATACAAGGCTAATGCAGGATGAGCCAAAATCTCCAAAATATTTTTTATTAAAGGCAAAACCAAGACATTTGGAGAGGTGGTGTAGTTTAAAGTCTTTGATCCAAATTAAAATATGTGGTTGCTCTGTTTCCTATTCAGAGTGCAGTGTACAAACAACCGTTCGCTGCGTTTACCTTCATTAAAGTGTCAGTTATGAGGTCTCACTTTCTTTTCAGCAAAAGTAGCATCTCAAGTTTTATCCTTGAAACATATTTCACTGCGAACGCTGTTATGTAACATTAATTACTGAACTACGTGACCATGTAAGAGCATTTAATAGAGAAAGGAATGTTTTATAAATGTCAGATTAATGTCAGTCTAAATCTGATTCATAACAGGTGATGATCCTCAATCCAGCTTTCATGAAATATGTTCATTAAATGTGGTTCAGAAAGAAGGGCAATTATCCATCCACTGGCTTTCTGACTTTGGCTCTCAGCATGCAAATGTGTGATGAGGTAGGTTCACATTACAAATTGTGCCAACAGCTTAATGCTATCCTACTGATATCTGGTGGCAGTCAAACACCAAGAACTGCACCAGTGAAGGCAAGGAAGAAGAAGAGTGCTAGGCCATGAATAAATATAAATGCAAATCTTAAAGCTGCAGTAGGTAACTTTTATAAAATAACTTTGTGTGATATTTGCTGAAACTTCACTATATCATGACAGATAATCTGATAAGAAACTATCTTTCTTGGCTCTGATTGATTGCTTTTGTTCATGTCTGCTGTTTCCTTGCAAATCCCATAAGGAGCGCTACGACTCAGATTATCTGTCTACTACTGTCAGTATAGTGAAAGTTTCAGCAAATATGAAAAAAACATATTAAAATGTCATCTTTGCTAATCTTTTATAAGTAAACATATATGTTTGTGTTCATCACACGTCATGCATTTTCTGATCTGCTACAGCTGTGGTTACAGCAATAGTTTGACATTTTGGGAAATCCGATCAGATCAGTACCACTCTCACATCTGTAATTACGTAGCCAGAGACAGCAGCTGGTTATCTTAGATTGGCATGAAGACTGGACATGGGGAAACAGCTAGCTTGGCTTTGTCGAAAGGTGAACAAAATTCACATATCAGACACAGGGGCCAGACAAAGAGCGATTCAGTGCAGCGGCCAAGAAGGAGTAGCAGCACCTTGGCCAGAAAAGGGAAACCAGGGCTCCCTCCTGGAGCCACACCCTGGAGCCACACCATGGAGCAAGCTGTTTCCCTGTTACCAGTCTCTATGCTAGCTGTGCGTCTCGTGGTTCCAGCTGCATGATAACTGTGAATAAGAGTAAATAACTTTTAATTAAGTTTACGGAATTAAAAATACTTTTCTCTATCATGGACGGGATAGCAAAGTTTCTTGGTGTTATAGTCAGACAGTATGTCTGAGAGTTTTGCTGTATTATAACAACTTTGCTTTTTCTTATGGAAGACAATGTGACAGAAAAAAAGGATTCTTTAAGTCAATATAATTCAATTTTTTTTTCTAAATAATGACTTAGTATCTCAATATTTTGACTTGGTAAAATAATGTTTTATTTAAAGTTTCTCATTATCTGAATGAGATCTTGCAGATTGAAACGTTGCTTTATAAAAAGGGAATAAAAATAATCATTTGGACCCCCTCAGTGTACAGACTTTTTCTCTTTTGTGTCTTGCAGTAATATTTTTGCCTGGGTGTGCACACACTTGATGCGTCTTCTGTACTAAAACGTCATGGCAACCCATCTGATAGCTGTTGAGATATCTCAGTGTGGACTAAAGTTGTGGGATGATGAAAATGCAGTGTAACCAAATATGGTGAGGGAACAAATCTGTATTGAACAAACTCATGTCAGATAAGTAAGAAATAATACCCGGGAAGGTGTCCATTATCAGGAATGAAGGCCAGAATCTCCGCTTCAGGGAAGTCCATTAATTCCTGATAATAGACACCTCGAAGGGCATTATCCCACTTATACAATGGTCACTTGCCAAAGAAAGAAAAGGAAGATCAATATTTTATATTTTCATGCATTTTTTACTTTTTTACTAGCCATATCTTCATTTCCCTGGTAACACCTGAGTTCCTACCTAATACCTGGAAGAATCATTACCATCCCATAAGGTTCTAATGCAATGCAAACGTTATTCACTACTCCAGTCAATAGGATGAGCCTTAGATATGACTTGACAATGGGAGATATTTCTAGTTCCCTCTGTTTGTAGAACACTTTGGCTCAGCTACGAGACACAGAGCTAACGCTATGCTAGCTAGATTAAAAGGGAATAACAACAATTGACAAACGGTAAATATAATTTGACAGTATGTTTAACAATACAAGCTAGCTATCCAGCCATGTCCTTGTCCCCAAATCAATATCAAGCTATATATGATTCTAAAACCCATTAACTTGAATGTTTTTCTAGCTTCTCAATTTACATCTCAATCACACCTTCCACATATTTGATTTTATTTTAGGTTACTTTATGTCCAACACCTTGCATTACATTGACAGGAGTGCTGTGTTCATAAAAGGCACCTTCTATCCTGCAAACAAAAGAATCATGATAACATCAGTTTCAGTTGGCTAGCAAAGGTTTCATGCCAGCATACTCATTGACAACACCTTGACATGGAATCTTTCATTTTGATAGGGTTTTATCTGAGCATGTGAAAGAACCATAACATAGCAACACATCCTGGCACCAAGGAAACAATGTAACGTCTGCTGTCGTCAGTACTTCTCACATTTACATTTTTTTTCAAATTGAACTTTATAAAATGGCTGCCTTTGCTTGTGAGAGAGAACAAATCATTTTAACTCTACCCAGCTTATCTGGATGTGTTCAGAAACCCTATTTAGTAACACTGTGGAGTGCAGCACCATAACAGTATGAAATGTAAGTTAGAATATGCAGAAATGTACTGTATGCAGAAATAAGAAAGACAATTCTATGGAGCGTTTATTCAAATCCAGCTGAGATTCATGGTGTGTTTGTTTTCCCAGGTCAATGTTTTTGGGTTTGGAGCAGACAGAGATGGAAACTGGAACCATTACTTTGAAATTCTCAAAAACAAACAGCTGAGAACTGGACCTCATGCTGGAATGCATGAACATGAAGTTATTCTGAAATTAAAGGAGCAGCAGAAAATTGGTGTTTTTAGAGGATGGTAATTTCTTTCTCTGTTTGTGTCTTCCTTTATTTGTCAGTGGCATTAACATGAGCACCAAGTACTTTAGCTTTAAGAGAGAAACGGAAAATAAATGTTTGGCAGTTGACTTGGCCTTTTATTAGTTAGTTAGTAATTAGTTCTGAGCCTAAAAGAGATTATGAATGGGCAGAATATCTACTGTCAGAGAGAGACAGCAGAGACAGATCCTAACCAAGTCCAGGCTCAGTGAGCACAACCTGGAAATTGAAAAGGGAAGACACAAAAAACCATGGAAACCAAAAGAAAACTTATATAGTAATATGTAGTCACTGACCATACATTGTGTTTATAGTTTGAATCAGATGCAAAATATATGCCCTATATTAATATTTTGGTTAAAAAACAAAACAAACCAATAATATCATTGTTAGCTAACTTTCTCCATATCTTCTCAGAAACCTGGAGTTGTTGCAGGCGAGGCAGTATATTCATTGTAAAACTCGACTGATGTGCCTCTTCAAGCAATGCCTGTTTTCTTTTGACATTTGTCTGAATGAGATCTTGCAGATTGAAACGTTGCTTTATAAAAAGGGAATAAAAATAATCATTTGGACCCCCTCAGTGTACAGACTTTTTCTCTTTTGTGTCTTGCAGTAATATTTTTGCCTGGGTGTGCACACACTTGATGCGTCTTCTGTACTAAAACGTCATGGCAACCCATCTGATAGCTGTTGAGATATCTCAGTGTGGACTAAAGTTGTGGGATGATGAAAATGCACTGTAACCAAATATGGTGAGGGAACAAATCTGTATTGAACAAACTCATGTCAGATAAGTAAGAAATAATACCCGGGAAGGTGTCCATTATCAGGAATGAAGGCCAGAATCTCCGCTTCAGGGAAGTCCATTAATTCCTGATAATAGACACCTCGAAGGGCATTATCCCACTTATACAATGGTCACTTGCCAAAGAAAGAAAAGGAAGATCAATATTTTATATTTTCATGCATTTTTTACTTTTTTACTAGCCATAACTTCATTTCCCTGGTAACACCTGAGTTCCTACCTAATACCTGGAAGAATCATTACCATCCCATAAGGTTCTAATGCAATGCAAACATTATTCACTACTCCAGTCAATAGGACGAACCTTAGATATGACTTGACAATGGGAGATATTTCTAGTTCCCTCTGTTTGTAGAACACTTTGGCTCACCTACGAGACACAGAGCTAACGCTATGCTAGCTAGATTAAAAGGGAATAACAACAATTGACAAACAGTAAATATAATTTGACAGTATGTTTAACAATACAAGCTAGCTATCCAGCCATGTCCTTGTCCCCAAATCAATATCAAGCTATATATGATTCTAAAACTGTAAACCCATTAACTTGAATGTTTTTCTAGCTTCTCAATTTACATCTCAATCACACCTTCCACATATTTGATTTTATTTTAGGTTACTTTATGTCCAACACCTTGCATTACATTGACAGGAGTGCTGTGTTCATAAAAGGCACCTTCTATCCTGCAAACAAAAGAATCATGATAACATCAGTTTCAGTTGGCTAGCAAAGGTTTCATGCCAGCATACTCATTGACAACACCTTGACATGGAATCTTTCATTTTGATAGGGTTTTATCTGAGCATGTGAAAGAACCATAACATAGCAACACATCCTGGCACCAAGGAAACAATGTAACGTCTGCTGTCGTCAGTACTTCTCACATTTACATTTTTTTTCAAATTGAACTTTATAAAATGGCTGCCTTTGCTTGTGAGAGAGAACAAATAATTTTAACTCTACCCAGCTTATCTGGATGTGTTCAGAAACCCTATTTAGTAACACTGTGGAGTGCAGCACCATAACAGTATGAAATGTAAGTTAGAATATGCAGAAATGTACTGTATGCAGAAATAAGAAAGACAATTCTATGGAGCGTTTATTCAAATCCAGCTGAGATTCATGGTGTGTTTGTTTTCCCAGGTCAATGTTTTTGGGTTTGGAGCAGACAGAGATGGAAACTGGAACCATTACTTTGAAATTCTCAAAAACAAACAGCTGAGAACTGGACCTCATGCTGGAATGCATGAACATGAAGTTATTCTGAAATTAAAGGAGCAGCAGAAAATTGGTGTTTTTAGAGGATGGTAATTTCTTTTTCTGTTTGTGTCTTCCTTTATTTGTCAGTGGCATTAACATGAGCACCAAGTACTTTAGCTTTAAGAGAGAAACGGAAAATAAATGTTTGGCAGTTGACTTGGCCTTTTATTAGTTAGTTAGTAATTAGTTCTGAGCCTAAAAGAGATTATGAATGGGCAGAATATCTACTGTCAGAGAGAGACAGCAGAGACAGATCCTAACCAAGTCCAGGCTCAGTGAGCACAACCTGGAAATTGAAAAAGGAAGACACAAACAACGTAGAAACCAAAAGAAAACTTATATAGTAATATGTGGTCACTGTTGGACAGGTGATGTTGAGACAGAGATGCACTTCCTGTCCTACAATGTAAAACATTCATTTGAACAAATGAAATCCTGTAATCCCAGATTTCAACAATGTATATGACCACTCAAAATTAAAATGAATCCTACGAGAAGGAGACAGGGCATATATTGATGCCCAATATGAGTGCCACATACAGTGAGTGACCTCGACACACACACACACACACACACACACACACACACACACACACACACACACACACGCACACACACACACACACACACACACACACACACTTCCTTTTTTTGTAAGTTCTGTGTCTTTTAACTCCAAATGTATTTTAAAATTGTTCTACTTTATTTCAAGTTATTTTTTTATACACATATTACACCTATCTCCAATAGAAAGCATTACAAACTGTGCATGAGTTTGAAAGATATGGGCATATACCAGGCAGGGAGGGTCAACCTAATATATATATTTTTAGATGGGTCAATCCAAGGACGAAATTTTGATTTCAGAGGTGGGGGGGACAGAAGTATTTTTAATAAAACTCTAACTCTTTCAGTTCACTGTGTTTTCTAGTAGTTCTTCTAGTTTTCTATTGCTACTTTTAAGTTTACTGTTCCTTTTTTGGTTTTTACTGCTTGTAAAGCATGTAGCAAAATATTATCACCCAATTCTGTGTTTCACCTTGTTAGTCAACTTCACTCCAACTCAGTACCACCAATTTTACACTTATTTTTGGAACATATGGTAAAGAGACCTCATTTACATAGCACCACCTAGTGGTGGGCAGGTCAACCTGGCAGGAATATCACAGGTGGGGAGAAATTGAATAAAATGTCCATAATTCAGTGTAAGTAGTCAAGTAATCAATTTTATTTGAAATGAGTGTAACAGAGAACCACTGTCATTTTTAGGCAGTTATATGGAAGAAAATCCTATTTTTGATGTAAATGAAAAGTGAACAAGGGTCAATTTGACCCAAAGACCACAGAAGGGTCAACATAATCAACTCATCCAGAGCTTCCAAACACATGTTGTCTTCGATCATTGGCAGAGATAAATTCCTGGCAGAGTTTCTTCCTGTCCAAGGCATCAAGCCTTTCTCGGTGTATGTGACAAACTGCCACATTGTTCAGGCGTTTGTGCTTCATGCAGTTGCGAGGCCAGGTCTTTAACCTCCTCAGTGCGCTGAAACTCCTCTCAGACTGGTGTGCAAGCAAGATGGAGTGACAGCGGGGACGGCCAATCACAGCCAATCGAGGAGCTTGTGGACGGTCTAAACTAAGGGAAACAGGCTTCAGCTTGAACGGCCGTTTTCCGCTTGTTTTTTTTTTTTTTGCTGCTGTTCACATTCCAGATTTACAAATTCAAAATGCACTAGGCTACAGGATGATTATGCGACTTTACTGTTGTATATGTGAATATGTAAATATGTATATATTGTTTTATTTTATTGTCAATGAAAATATTTGAATATATGTTCTGTGTGTGAAGCTTGAAGGCATTGCAACTTACATTTTACGAAGTAACCTTTGTTGTAAATTGACAAATTACCTTGATTCCTACTGCTTTTCAGTTGGTTTCATGTATTAATTCTAGGAAGGTCACAGTCTCCTCATCGCTCAACACAGATCTGATGTCTTCATCTGCCACTAACACATTTTTTTTGTGATATTTTGACTTTTTTTCTGTATTTCCACTTAGGTCTTTTATGTGCAACTTGAAAATGCTTACGACAGCAGGTGGATGCAAACTTAATAGCACACAAGTCAAATGGAACACACAGCACACAAAATAATGTACATACTATAAACACATTCACACATACACATAGGTTTACAGAGAGATCTTTCTGAGCTGATGGCATGTAAAGGGCTATTCTTCAGATACGGCATCTGAATTTTCAGATAAGAGCCTTGATCATTTATTGGCTCCTGAAAGCATTATAGCAACAGACAATACTGTTTTAATACATTACATTTAAATATTGTCCAAGGGCAACAAAAGACTTGGCCTAAAAGTTGGACTGTTACTTAAAACACATTTGAAACAGAAGCTCGTACAGAAGCCAACATTTTTTTCTATTAAATCTTTGAAAACAGATGAATTTTGTTATTTTTCTCAGGATAATTTCTTAAGTGTGTGTTGTAATATTAATTTTGACCACAAGAGGCTGAAGGGCACCATTACTCCATGTTCTAAACAGGACACATGCACTTCAATACAGGAATACAGGAAGCAATATGTGAACACATTTTTTCTTACTTTTGTTCGTATCCACAATTTGCTCTTATTTTGTTATTGTTATTCACCAGTGATTTCTAAGATAACAGTTTATGAGTGGATGAGAGCACTCTTACCAACATAAGACAGAAACACCTTGTTTTCACAGTCTACAGATTGTTTGTCCAACGCAAGGAAATAAGTTTAAAATTTGAAGAACATAAAAAATAAAAATAGAATA